TTGGAGGCAAAGATTCTGAAGCTTCATCTGACATACTTTGCAAGGAGGAACTGGTCTTTGGAGAGGGACATCATGTTTGGGAGGCTTGAAGGATAGTGCAAGAGAGGAAGACCTTCGGTGAGATGCATAGATTCAGTGATTGGGGTAATGGGAATAGGAGTGTTGTAGAAAGTGAGGTTGGCACAGGATAGGGTTTAGGGCTCTTGTACATAGGGCCGTTATGAGTCACAAGCAATTCAATGGCACATAACAACAACAGTGAGGATTATTTATGTTTTGGTGTAATCCATGCTGAAGATTGTGGTCTTTGAATTTCTTTAGTAAATACTACACATCCTTGTTTTCAGCAGGTATCCCTGCATCATCTGCATATCACAGACGGTTAATGACTAATCTTCTCTCACCATTTACTCCAGCTCCACACGTCATTTTCTCAGCATACAGGTTGAGTAAGTATGTGGAAGACTACAACCCTGATGCCCACGTGTCTGGATTTTACACCCTACACTATCCCCTTGTTCTATCTGAATGACTGTCTCTTTGTGTACATATTTCACGTGTACACAATTAAAAGGTGTAGAAATTCAATTTTTTTAAATGTAGTCTGTAATTTGTTGTAAGCTACAGAGTTCAATCCTTTGCAAACATCTTCCTAGCTCTGTCTCCTTTCAATCAAGATCCACCTGACATCAACAAAGATATCCTTCTTTTGGCATCCTCTTCTGAAGCCAGCTACAGTTTCTAGCAATGAATTGTCAATAAATTCTATAAGTTCTTTCGAATTATCTTTAGCAAAATTTTGTTTGTGTATAATATTAATGTTATTTTCACAATGACATTCCATTGGATCATCTTTATTTAGAATGGATACTGAAATCTTTCAATTATTTAGCTAAGTAACTATCTTCCAATACAGATGAATGAGTGCTTCTAACATTGCATTTATTTGATGAAATGTCTCAGTTTTTATGTTGTCAACTCTTGAAGTCTTTTTTTTATATTTTTTTATTAAATTTTATTAGTTTTCATGAATATTTACAGAGATTTTGGGTTTTCATTCATTCATTGTTGCACTGTTTTCTCCACCCTCATCCCCAGTTCATTCTTCTTCCCCCCCCCATGTCTGTTTTAATTGTCCAATTGCCACAGTGCTTGTCAACTCTTGAAATCTTGTTTTATACTAATGCTTTCAGTGCATCTTGGGCTTATTCTTTTAATAACAGTGATTCATTATAATATTCTACTTCCGAAAATGGTTGAAAATCTTCCAGTCATTTATAGTACACTGATTCTGTGGCATCTTTTCATCTTTCTTTACTGCTTCTTATGTTGCTCAGTATTTTTCCATGTTGTTGTAGTTAGTAGGTGCCACTGACTCGAGGATAACTCATGGTGACCCTAGGACAACACATCTGAACCCTGTGCTATCCTATTCCATCCTTATAATCTCTGACACACCCAAGCACACTGTTGTAGTCACTGTCAATCCACCTGGTTGAGGGTCTTCCTCTCCTTTGTCATCCCTCCATCTTTTGAGACATGATGTCCTTTTCCAGTTAATAACCTCTCCTAGCAACACGGCCAAAGTATGTGAGATGAAACTTTGTCATCTTTGCCTCCAAGGGTCACGCTGGCTGTACCTTCTCCAAGACATATCTGTTTGTCCTTTTGACAGTCCAGGCGAGAGTAACACTTGTAACCAATACCACAGTTAAAAGGCATCAGTTCTTCTTCCGCCACCCTTACTCATTGTCCAGCTTTCAGGTGCTAAGCTAGGGACCCATATTAAAACACTAGGTGAATATTTAGAGTAGTTATTAATACTTGAATTAATATAGCTGGAGGATGGATAAATAGTATACTAGTTTCAATAATCTTTTAGCTGGGAAATAAATAGTTTGTGCTGTCCAATAATATAATTAAATACAACAATAAGAATAATTTCACTAAGGATAAAGGTAACATTTTTAATTAGTCTCAGCACTCTATGCTTGGGGAAAGACATTAGTGCTGAAGTTTACATACTAATTTTACATACTACATTTACAGACTGTATTTTACATACTATATTTAGATGACATTCATGAAAACAAAAGTTATGTGTAAACAATATGGTTTAATGGTTGAAAAGAAAAATGATTGGGAGGAGGGTATAATCGCCAAGAAGACCAGGAAAGTTTATTCAGTTGTAGAAACTGTGCTATATTGTGGAAATGATTGTATGATCATAGACATCTGACCAAAGTTGCAGTGATACATTAGAAATGGATTATGTTACCATATGTAAATTATATTTTAAGAGGAAACAGAAAAAAAAGAAAGACATGAAGTAAAGAAAGAAGTAAGACATGAAGTAAAGTAAGAAGTAAGACATGAAGTAAAGTAAGAAGTAAGACATGAAGTAAAGAAAGAAGTAAGACATGAAGTAAAGAAAGAAGTATGACATGAGCGCGTTTGCCAAATCAGTAAACTTCCCATGGGCAGTGTAATTACCTCTTCTTTTTGTAAGAGGTATGAGAAGGTGAAGATGGCCTCTTGGGTATATCCCCTGAGATCTGTGTGTTTTCTGAACTCTCTTTTGGCTCCTGTGAAATCTCTCTCTCCTAGAATATCAACATACTTTGTATGATCTGATTTTAGAAGGACCCAAATGTGGGCAGAGCACTTTTGGTAATTTATTTATTGAAGTGAATGCTAATTATTGAGAGAAGCTAAGTCAATCTCCCTCAAACTGATTATTTGCATGAGTCTTAAGCCACAGCCAAGGAAAACTATTGGGGGAAAAAGTGAAATATAATGAGTAATTTCAGAATAACTCCTTCATGAATTATTTTCTGGATCTTTCCACATTGGGGAAGCTCTGGCGACCCAGGTGAGTTACTTTGCCCACGTAAAGGCTGTGAATCTAGGAGTTCATCACCACCAGCCTCTCCATATGAGCAAGACGGGCAGTCTCTGATTGTTTACATTTACAGCCTCAGAAACCCAATTATGCTGAGTCTGAACCAACACAATGACAATAATGCTGAGGGGTTTTTCCCCCCCTATTTTTCCTCATTTGCTATTCAAAGCAATAACAGCCTATGAATTATGTGAGAGACATCTTGTATTATGTTTGCCTTATAAATAAGGAGGAGATAAGACACATTTCCAAGGACAGAAGAAACATACAGTGACTAGAAGACTTCAATACAAAACCTCTACTACATCTTAATGTACTTTTAGCCATCTTTCACAATTTAAAAAAATACTTGGAACTTTTTGGCCAGTACCAAATTCTTTAATAATATTTTATCTTTCATTCCATACATTAATTTCTGATTTTAAACTGACAATTCAGAATCATCTTGCACTCATAGTTTTGGGGTGTTTTGTTGGTTTGTTTTTTGGGGTTTTTTTTGAGTGATTGTAGGTAAATTTTCTATTTCATGTACACTGTTAGTGAATGCTGTGATTCAAGAAAAAAAAAGTATTGTGAAAACATTATGTGCTCTGTTGTGAGTCCAGACTAAAAGTTACAGAAATTTTTCTAACTCATGTAAGTTAAACTTGGAATATATAGATGTCCATCACTATGCATTTCAGTGATACTTAGAAAACATCTTTTCTTATTTTCTAAAGAAGATGGGGATGGGAAATTAAAAAAAAAAAAAAACCACAAAAAACAAACAACCAAAAACAGTAGGAGGAAAAGATGGTTCTTTGATTGAGTAGATGGTAACTCCATCATGTTCACTACCTGGTGGTTACTGATTAAAGGTATAGTTTTAAGAAAATAAGGTTGAAAAAAATAGTTAAATGATATCTTTTTTTGAGCTGTGTAGTAAGAGTCTCAATTTAACTATTAGACCCTACACTATTTTACATTTTCCCCACAATCTTACTCCTAAAATTATTAAAACATCTATAAATGTTGACAGGGCTAAAAGTCCAGGATTTTTATTTATTAAAATGTGGGTTTAAACCTTGAGTCCTGAATCTCCCTCATACTAGCTCTATAATTGTACATGATGACCTAACTTTCTGCATACTTAACATTAAAAAGAGAATTAATTGACAAGATGTTAGTATCTTTGCATCTATTATCATTTGTTGTTTACATTAAACAACAACAAATGTTGGGTTTGTTTTGGAGTGTTGTTGTTGTTGTTTTTAAATAAAAGCTTATGTATATCAAAGTTGTTAAATATAAGGCTTTAACCACGACTTATAAAATGAAAATGTGAATCATTATATGGAAAATGATAGAGAATAGTTGCTGGGAAAGGATTAATGCCCTGCCAAAAACTTATAATTCATGCAAAATATGTGAAATAATGTGCTTACAGATGAATAGCTTCAAAATTTAAAAAATATAACATTAAAATATATATCTTTACCTTTGCAGATATTCAGGAAAAAAATGCACCCACACCTATAAATTTGTAACTCAGTGTTGGGGATTTATTAAAGATGCCAGTAAGAGGAGAAAGAATGAGTTTAAATAAATGAGACTCCTTTGATCCAAGTTGAAATATGTATTTTTTAAGGAATAACTTAAAGCAATATAATGCCTCATGTAGAGTGGTTGAAATATTCTCTCACATGGGTGAGCAGTTAAGCTGCCAACCCAAAGGCAGACAATTCAAATCCACCATCTGGTCCATAGAAGAAATAGGAGCAATTTCCTCTCATGTGATTTACAGACTTTTAAAACCCTGTGGAGAGTCAGCTGTGAATCCATTCTGATTCTTATGCACAAAACAATAGAGAATGAAGGGCATGAACAGCAACCATGAGTGAAAAGAAAGACAAGTAGAAGAAAGAGGCTACCAGATGTCAAGAATTCAGCTATGGCTTAAATCCCTGCATGTCACCACTCACCTTTCTAAAAATCAGCATAGAAGTCTTCATTCAATATTAATGCTATCATTTCTATTTCACTGCCACCTTGTGCTCCATTGAACACTCTGCTCTTTTATTCCTCATTGACACAAGGCATGAGTTAATTCTCAATATAAATGGAGAACAGTACGGAAGTGACACAGTTCATCCTGTTAGGAATAACCAGTGTCCCAGAGCTTTGGATTACCTTCTTCATACTGTTCACGCTCATTTACCTCGTCAATGTGCTTGGGAACCTGGGAATGATTGTACTCATTTTGCTGGATTCTCGTCTCCATATTCCCATGTACTTTTTCCTCAGCAACCTGTCGCTGGTGGATCTTTGTTATTCCTCAGCTGTCACTCCCACGGTGTTGGCTGGTTTGCTCAAAGGAGACAATATCATCTCCTATAATGCATGTGCTGCTCAAATGTTCTTTCTTGCAGTATTTGCAACTGTGGAAAATTTCCTGTTGGCCTCTATGGCCTATGACCGCTACGTAGCAGTGTGCAAACCCCTCCATTACACCAGCAGCATGACAACAGCTGTGTGTGCTTGTCTGACCAGTAGTTGCTACCTCTTTGGTTTCCTAAATGCCTCCATCTACACGGGGGACGCATTCAGTCTCTCCTTCTGTAAGTCCAACGTGGTCAATCACTTTTTCTGTGATATTCCAGCTGTCATGATCCTCTCTTGCTCTGAGAGACATGTTAATGAGATGGTTCTTATTTTAGTGGTGAGCTTCAGTATATTTTTTGCTATTCTGGTTGTCTTGATGTCCTATCTGTTTATATTTATCACTATTCTAAAAATGCATTCCTCCGAAGGATGTCAGAAGACTTTATCCACCTGTGCTTCCCACCTCACCGCAGTCTCTATCTTCTATGGGACAGTCATTTTCATGTACCTACAACCCAGCTCCAGTCACTCCATGGACACGGACAAAATGGCATCGGTGTTCTATACTATGGTCATCCCCATGCTCAACCCTCTAGTCTACAGTGTGAGGAACAAGGAGGTCAAGACTTCATTCAAGAAGATGATTGAGAAGACAAAGTTATGTCTTGGCTTAACCAACTAATATTGAAGGAGCCACAGCAATCAAATTTCATTCTTATTAGATATTCCCAATGCAATGGTTCACATTTCAGCACTGATGTTTTACTTAATTTCCTAGGTGGTCTTTTGCCTTTTCAAAAGTATACTGTCTAGAAAGAGAAAATATTTTGTCCTGAACTAACCCAGTAGATAAGTATATTTGAGTATTGCTTATCAAAAATCTTTTAATACGTTGCCGCAAATGATGGTAATACATTAAAAAAATGTTTCTAAGCACGGTCGTCAATTTAAAAGTGTGAGGCAACGTGTTAATGGTATTTAACTTATTCACATTTTCCCTACAACATACAAGGACAAGCATATCTGTCAAACCAGGTAGATCAAATAAAGTTTCATGAATAAAATAGTATATGCGTGGACCTTATATGCAATTACACACAGGAGTGGGAATATGTTTAAGTGAGGTTAGGAGAATGGCTATCTTTAATGAAATAAGTGAAAATGACCAATTTGAATATTTAAATACAAACTTGTGTCTTAGGGTTTTTTTTCCTAGTCCAATACTTATTCAGACTCCAAAATGAAGAAAAAATATAGATCTTTAAAATTAAGATTTTCTTCTTTCTCTTGCCATATTTTACCCAGAGCTATACAAGTTCAGTGTATTACAGGAACTAGTATTTCTATCTTCAAGAAATCATTTGATAGAAATTGCACAATCACTTGATAGTTTTTAAAGGGAAAAATGTGAAAGCACAAAAAAAACCCCAAGAATATTAATAACAAATGCAGTTTTCAGTGTATCTATATTTGACTGACAACTTTACATAAAATAATTCTTTTAAAAAAATTAAAATTTACTGAACTAAGGATAATGCTAATCATTCTTCTTACTTTCTAGTAAATAATATGAGTGGCTAATTTCAAAGTTCTGGAAAACTTCGATATGGCTGAATAACAGTATCTCTCATCATTTTCCTGTTCATTATTCATACCTATTTCCTTCTAATTTTAAACAGCTCTTATGCATCCTCTTGTCTCCAGGCTTCTTAGAGTATCTCATGCTTAAAATGTGTCCTCTTTCACACTCAGCTTCTTGAATATATATTCTGTCATTCTTCATTATACCTGGAAAGTTTTCCTCTAGTAATTCTTCCACAACTTTTTCAGTGCCTTTACTTGTTTCTTCCCGTTCTGGGATTCCAATGATGTGGATGTTATTTCTTTTAATGGTATCCCACATTATTCTTAAGTTTTCTTCTGTTTCCTTCTTCTTTGCTTCTGCTTTTTTCTCAGTTATATCTGTGGTGGCAATTCTATCTTCTACTTCACTAATTCTGTTTTCCATCTCTTCACCTCTATTTGTATGTCCCTCAATCATGTTGACAGCATCAGAAACCTTCGATTTCATATTTTGAATTATGATTTCTTGTTTTCCCAGTGCTTCTAATGCCTCATTTGTTTTCTCTGCATTGTTTTGGACTGTTTTTTTAAGTTCCTCCTGATTTTTGACTGTAGTGTCCTGTAATTCTTCAAGTTTGTTTTTCATCCATTGAAAACATTCAATCATCTTTTTTCTAAATTCTGCATCAGAAAGTTCCATCAAACTTTCTGGCTTCACCTTTATTTTTAATACATAGATTATAGCCTGATGCATGCTAGTTTCAATTCTTAAACTTTTGGTAAATTTATTCCTAAGCATTTTGTTTATTTTGATGTTAATTTTTTTAACTGAACATGGATTTTATTAAAATCACACCAGTTTTTTTATTCATTCTATATCATACAGGTGTATATGACCATGTACTTGTAAGTAAGTGTAGAAAGAGAATGCAAATAATTTGGTAAGCCTGTTTGGTAAACAAACTATTTCTAATTATCAGTATATTTGGATCATATTTCCCACATTGTTTTACATTTCTCCGAAATATAATTTAGTGGCTACCTTGATTTCTAGCCTAAGGAGATAGCAAATCTATTTCTTAAAGATATGGCTAGGAATTTCTAAGGAACAGCCTTTGATGCTGTTAAAAATCCCATGATGGAAATTTCTTTCTTTTTTTAATTAATTTTTATAAAAGTTTACAGAGACTTTGGATTTCCATTCATTCATTGTTGCACTTTTCTCCCTGCCCAGCCTCCCTCCTTCCTCCCCAGTTCACTGTTCTCTTTGAAAAGTAAAAGAAAAATTCTTTCATTGTTATACAATCCCTCCCCCCAGGGCCACTCCACTATGCAGCCTTCATTCTGGACTCCTGTCATTACAATAAAACCCAATTTTTAAGAGGAATTATTTACTTCATTTTTAAAAAAAATTATTCATTGATAGTGTATAAAAAAACACAATACAATCTTTGCATATTGTTCTGGCATGTTGAAACATGCTGAATTGTGCTTGGATATATTTTCCATGGATTACTCGAGGCTTGAAATTTTATGCCCTGCAAGCAATATTTCTCTGAGTTGAGATAATGTATTTCTGCCTTATCTATCAGCATGGGAACTCTGGTGTCCTGGGAACATCAGAAGTTGCTCTTCTAGTGCAAAGACGATGCCTCTCTAGTGGTCAGACTCCATGAACCGTTCCTCAAGGATCAACAGTCTCCTCCTATATGATGTACAGGCTTGGAAAACCTGGTGGATGGAGGATCAACTCTGAGTCAGTCCTGACTGGACAGGAATGGGCTTGAGATTTTCGTATTTGGATACCTGTTATTTCTTCTTTTTGATGTATTTTGTTGACAAGAATAACTAATAAAATGTTGGCACCAGTAGTCAGGAAATAAAAAAAACCCAAAAGAAACACATAGAGATGGCAAAGTCTGCTGTTAGGGACCTCCCCAGGGTACTGAAGAGCAATGATGTCACTCTGGAGACTAAGGTGTGTCTGATACAGGCTATTCTTTTGCAATCACTTATTATGCATCAGAGAGTTGGACAATGCCTAGAAAGGATAGAAGGAGAATTGATGCCTTTGAGCTATGGTGCTGGAGAAGAGTATTGAATGTACCATGGACTGCCAAGAAAACAAACAGATTCGTCCTGGAGAGGGTTAAACCAGGCTGCTACTTCGAGGTAAGGATTCTGAGGCTCCGTCTGACATACTTTGGACATGTTGTAAGGAAGGACAAGTCCTTGGAGAGGGGCATCACGCTTGGGAGGGTAGAGTGATGGTGCAGGAGGGGAAGACCTTCTATGAGGTGGATTGACACAGTGACTGGGATAATCGGGATGGGAGTGTCAGAGGCAGTGTGATTGTCACAGGACAGAGCAGAGTTTAGGCTGTTGTACATAGGGTCGCTATGAGTCGCAAGCGACTCGACGGCACCTAACAACAACAACAACAACAACTGATGGTAATAATAAGCATTCTTAGTTTAGTCAAGAGTTTAGTTAGAAAACATTCTTTCAAAATGTAGTCTGATGCTGTTGGTCGTTGCCATAGATTCAACTCCCCCTCTTAGGAACCTGATGTAGGATACAACTCCTGCTATTCTTGAGACTCAGTTACTGTGTCGAGAGGTCCTGTTCACAAAACTTGATGGTTTTACTCCAGGGATTGATTGCATGCTCAAAATAGGTATGTGAGACAAACTTTTCTTCACTTCTGAAGAGTATTTTGGTTGTATTTCTTCCCAGAGAGATTTATTTGTTCTTTTGGCAGTTCATGGTGTATACGGGCAATATTCTTCGTTAAAGCCACTATTTACAGATAACCAATTTTCTTTGTTTTTCCTTATTTATGTTCCATCTTCTCCATTGGAAAAGAAGACTTTTGAAACAGCTATGCAAGTATATACAAGAATATTGAGACGACCATGGCTTGGACAGGTGCATTTTAGCCTTCAGAATGGCATTCTCACCCTTCTTCCTTAAAGAGATCCTTTTCTTTAAAAAAAAGTGTTTAGTTTGCACAAAATAACATACAATGTGTTTCATTTCTGTGCATTGTATTTTATGCAATCATTCATATACATTGCATTTTATATAATTAATTAACATAGACCTATATCTACTTTATCTATTACTGTCCCTTTTCTTCAAGTCCACTTGCATCTTTCCTGTTTCTTTACTATCTTTATCAGCCCATTAACCTCTGCTGTCTTAAATATTTCCCCCGGCTCTTTTTTCTGCCCCCTGTTTTTCCCTTACCCTCCACTTTTGAACATTTATACATATCTCCCTCAATTATCCTTCTGTTTTCCTAATAGTGGCCTTATGCAATATTTGTCCTTTTGTAACTGAGTTATTTCACTACACATAATGTTCTCTAGACCTTCTTGTGTTGTGTCATAGTTTATGAATACTTAGTTGTTCTTGAGGAGCTCTAGTGGTCTAAGGTCAAAGCTGCAATACTAAAGGTAGGCAGACCAGGTGCTCTGGTGGGACATGGATGGGCAATGTCTTCCCAGGTGATTAGTGATGTATTAATATTCTATTGTATGAATATACCACAGTTTCTTTATCCATTCTTATGCTGGTGAGCATTTGGGTTGTTTCCATTTGCTTGCTATTGTGAATAAAGCAGCTATGAAAGTAAGTGTATATATCTCCATTTGTGAAGTTGTTCATCGGGTCACTATGAGTCATACTTGACTTGATGGCACCAAACAATTTGAATAATGGCCACTCCATGTGTTGCAGAGGAGAACTGCAAGTCTATTGAGTTTTCTTGACTATGACCTTTCAGAGTCAGGTCAACAGGCCTTTTTATTGAGGTACTTCTGGGTGACTTACAAAATGAACATTTTACTGAATATCTGATTAGTTAACCATTTGTAACATTTGAAGACCCTTTAATTACCTAATTGTTGTTGTGTACTGTAGAGTCAATATCTACCCATAGCTCACCCTCTAGTGGGTGTTAAACACACAGGAGGAAATTGCCCATCCTTCTCCCACAGAGCAGCTGGTGGCCTTGAACCACAGGCCTTTGGGATGGAAATGTATTCTTTGCATATGTGATCTTATTCCATTTTCACACTAACACCAACAAAGACAAAAAAGGATACTATTTTTATA